CCAACACAACCAGCCCCGGTTTTTGGTGCCTCCTCTTCGCTGCCCCTCCCCCAACCCCCCAGCTGCACCCATGGGTGCCGGACCCCACAGGCCCCCGAGGGCCCCTCGGTCATGCAGGAAACGACACCCGGGCAGAGACGACCGTCCAGCTCGGCCACGTCCTGCTCGCCGTGGTCGGGGGATGAAGAAACCCAGCCTGCGCGTCCAGGGCCACGGACACGGCACAGCTGGTCGTCTGCAGCGAGAGGAGTCCTCCAGGGCCACAGACACGAGCACGACTGAGGCCGGAGGGGACAACGAGCACGTCCCGTCTTGCACGCTTCCTTTCCCTCTCACTGGTGATGTCTCAGATTGATTTCACCAAACTGCACCCAGAAACAGGGCCGGATCCTGTCCCCCACGAAGGAGGCTGGCAGGCAGGTGAAGATCGGGGCCCCGGTGACAGCATCAAGAAACGACACTTGCCCCAATGTGCAGTCCAGATACACCCCCACCCTGCTGGGCACCCGGTCCAGGGGCAGGCAGGTGCGACGATGGGCAGTGAGAGCCTCGTACTCACCCCAATAGCGCAGCACAGCACAGACCCCCTCCTCAGGACTAAAGCTGATTCCTCCCTTCCTCCTCACAGACTCTCTGACCACCCCCACGGCCCAATACATCCCCTTCCCGACCTCCACCTCCCACCAGTGTCTCCCGGAGGTGAATCCCTCACGGCCCAGCACACAGCGCCAACTGTGAAATCTCTCAGGATTGTTGAGCAGGCGCTGCCATTTGTGTGTCCATCTCACACTCTTCCCATCCTCAGACAGGACGAGGTATCGATGAGCCGTGTCTGGATCCAGAGTCACGTCCTCTGCGGGGAAAGGAGACAACAGGAGCGTGAGGAGCAGCGCTCAGCCCGAGGACAGGCTGTGATCAAGGCAGGGGCAGCTTTGGCTGCAGCTGGAGGTGAAGCCGGGATTGACCTGAGCAGGAAGGAGCCCGGAGACCTCAGCAAAGGGCAGGGCCGATTCCCCCCTGGCAGGAAGAGACGGGCCAGGGACAGAAACACGCCGGCTGGGCCAGGGCTGGGACACGGGATCGTTCCCCTCCTGCACCTGCCCGTCACAGGCAGGGATGAGAGACCCTGGGGGCTCAGGAGAGCCCGGCAGAGGGTGTGAAGGGGAGAGCATGGATACAGCTCGTCTCCCTCTGCACTGTCCACTGCCTGTCCTCAATCCCACAATGTTAAACCTTCCCTGCTCTCATATTTTGGGGCCATTTCCCAGAGAGACATTCCCACTCCAGCAACTCACAGCCAAAGAAATATAAAATTTGAACCAGAACAGTCCACACGTCACAAAGATTAGTTGTGTCCCAGGCTTCAAGTGCAGGTCCCAGCTCGTCTCCCTCTGCACTGTCCACTGCCTGTCCTCAATCCCACAATGTTAAACCTTCCCTGCTCTCATATTTTGGGGCCATTTCCCAGAGAGACATTCCCACTCCAGCAACTCACAGCCAAAGAAATATAAAATTTGAACCAGAACAGTCCACACGTCACAAAGATTAGTTGTGTCCCAGGCTTCAAGTGCAGGTCCAATTTCCAAAGTTTCCAGAGCTTACCCAAAAGGAATAACATAGCAGACGGGAGGGAGTAAAATATATACACAAATAGTAAGGGCTTAAGGCAAAGATGGAGAGATAATGTGTGGGGAAGTGGGAGTGAGGAAGCCATAAGCAACTTATGTAAATAGAAGGTAATTGTGTTAAAAGCCAGGAATGTACGTGGTGCCGTAACAAGGAGAGCTGGAGTATTGCTGGAGCTCTGCCGGGCTAGGAATGTCCAGGAGGCAACGGTGTTTTGTGGTATCTCTTACTAGTCTGACAGCATAGCTGGAAGAGCTGTTGGACAAACTTTTGGGCATCAGCCAGACTGGCTGACCTGCTCCACCGGGCTTTAAACTAAGCTCGTTGGGGGACAGGGGGACTACCGCTTCTCAGCCAGACTGGCTGACCTGCTCCACTGGGCTTTAAACTAAGCCCGTTGGGGGACGGGGGGACTACCGCCACTGCTGGCCTGCTGAGCAATCCTTGCAAAGCCAGCGGATCACAGCGCCTCAGGGAGCCCACCCCTGCCCCAGCCCTGGTAAAATCTGTGTGCAAGGAAGGAGCCCCCCAGGGGGCACTTGCCTGCCTGTACACTAATGCCAGGAGCTTGGGGAATAAGCAGGAGGAGCTCATCCTCCTGCTCAGTGCAAACAGTTACGATGTCATAGGGATAACGGAGACCTGGTGGGACTCCACCCATGACTGGACCACGGGGATAGATGGCTATACCCTGTACAGGAGGGATCGTGTAGAGAAAAGGGGCGGGGGGGGTAGCTCTCTATGTTAAGGAAAGCTACACGTCCCTGAAAGCCGATATTGGCGACCAGGGTGGACGGCTGGAGACCCTCTGGGTTAAAATCCGTGGGGAACACGGCACAGGGGACACAATGGTGGGAGTCTATTACAGACCTCCCACCCAAAGTCCTGAGCTTGACCAGGAGTTTGCCCAGGAACTGGCTGAGGCAGCTTGCTCCAGGACCGTGGTTGTCATGGGTGACTTCAATTACCCAGACATCTCGTGGGAGGATCGCTCAGCAAAATCTGAGCGGTCGCAGAGCTTCCTCTCGTCCGTGGATGACCTCTACCTTACTCAAGAAGTCTGTGGGCCAACGAGAGGTACCCGTACTGGTACTGGCTACTGGGGATGACCTAGTCGGCGACCTAGTGATCGATGGGAAGCTGGGTGACAGTTACCATGAGCTGATCACCTTCACCATCTGCCAAAAAGCTGGCAAGTCGGTCAGCAACATGCAAGTCCTTGACTTCAGGAAAGCCGATTTTGACAAGC